GTTACAGTTCCCTCTACCTTGCCGGTGCAGGGGGAGGGGGCGGCTCTGCCCCTCAGCAGGCCGCTGGGCCTGCTCTGTGCGTGGTCACAGTTCCCTCTACTTTGCCGGAGCAGGGGGAGGGGGCGGCTCAGCCTCTCAGCAGGCTGCTGCTCCTCTTCTGCTGGTGGGTCGCAGGCCCGCCTACCTTGCAGGAGTGATTGGAAGCTCTGTGCCACCGCGGGCCACTGGGCCTTTTCTGTCGGTGGTCACCTGGCAGGCGCGGGGGGGTGGGGGGTGGCTCTGCCCCTCAGCAGGCCGCTGGGCCTGCTCTGTGCGTGGTCACAGTTCCCTCTACTTTGCCGGAGCAGGGGGAGGGGGCGGCTCAGCCTCTCAGCAGGCCGCTGCTCCTCTTCTGCTGGTGGGTCGCAGGCCCGCCTACCTTGCAGGAGTGATTGGAAGCTCTGTCCCGCCGCGGGCCACTGGGCCTTTTCTGTCCGTGGTCACAGTTCCACCTACCTGGCAGGTGCGGGGGGTGGGGGGCGGCTCTGCCCCTCAGCAGGCCGCTGGGCCTGCTCTGTGCGTGGTCACAGTTCCCTCTACCTTGCCGGTGCAGGGGGAGGGGGCGGCTCTGCCTCTCAGCAGGCCGCTGCTCCTCTTCTGCCGGTGGGTCGCAGGCCCGCCTACCTTGCAGGAGTGATTGGAAGCTCTGTCCCGCCGCGGGCCACTGGGCCTTTTCTGTCCGTGGTCACAGTTCCCCTACCTGGCAGGCGCGGGGGCTGGGGGGCGGCCTCTCTTACTTTCTTTATTCAAATCTTATGTGGTTCCTCTAGCTCTATTGCATTAAGAAGGGAACCACAGCCCCTTAGATCTCCTATTATTTTTCTTTGTTGACTTACTAGGGCCAAAGTATGTTTGCTAAAGTATTTTCAGTGGTTGGAATCCTGTAAATGGTATCACTGAGCATCTCTTGGTTCAGTAGATATGGAGTTAGAAGTAGAAGATGTACTTTCAGATTACCATGTTCCCAGAACCCATGCTTTTCTTTATTTGATTTAAATCTTGATCCCAAATTTCATTTAGGGTAAGGAAAGAAGAATGATTACAATTTATTGTTTTCTAAACTGTTAGTGGTTCCAACACTTTATATTTAAATATAAATTTATATAACCACCTACAAATTTGGAATGTTACTTTTATCTTAATACAAACATACATGTTTCAGAAAAATCAAAAACAAATGATCAAAAATATAAAAACATAATGCTTGATAAGAATTTTTCCTTACTGTCAGTTTGTCTTGCTTGTACCAAGAGTTAGAAATGTTCCTCCAAATGTCTCTCCTCACCAACAAAGGAGGTCTGAGAAAGCATGTAAGAAGTAAGAGGAAGCACAACTCAATACCAGCCTGATCCAGTGCCCCCTTGGAGCTTGTACCCAGATCAGTGCCCACCCAGCTCAGTCTTGGGTAGGCCAACGCAACTAAATATTTAATTTCAAAATAGGAATGTCAGGTATTTTTCACATTTCTCATAAGTGTTTCTCCTTTTTATATACCTTAACAAGTAAGGAAAATCAAGTTCTGTAAGTCTTGGTGGTTATTGTGAGCATCAGAAATACCCTGATTTGGGAGTATTCTGTGTCTACAAATGACATGAGTAGAAAAGATATTAACGTAAAATAAAGATACTTAAAGCTATCTTAGGTCAGATTACCTTATTGAACACAGACCTTGGAGGAGGAAGAACACAATGTCTGGCACATTTTAAGATCATAATTCATTCTCATCTTATTAATTTTAAATAAATTGCCATATAAATCATTATTTTGTTAACTTACTCCCCTTCCATATTATATTCTCCTTAGAATTTAGTGCCAGGGAAATGTTTCTCTCTCCTGAAGAATACTTTGCTTCTTTCCATTAGGTACCCTCTGACTCTGACCAATACCTGGCTGGTCCACTGAGGACTCTGCTTCCTCTATAGACACATCAAGTGATGGATGTTTTTTCTCCCACATCTGAGTACCACTAGGCCTGAAGGTGGGGTAGGTGTCCTGCTTGCTCCTTATCTCCCCTTTTGGATAATTGATTCCTCCCTTCTGCCCAGAGTCTCTCAGGGCCCTTGAAGCATATGCCTTTAGAGCATCCCAGTCATGTATAAGATCTCACTCCCTGTCATCTTTTAGAGTATAAACCATATTCCTGTCATAATTTGTGTGTGTGTGGTACTGAAGATCAAACTCAGAGCCTCCTGCATCTAGGCAAATACCCACTCTCCCACAGAGCTACATCCCCAGTCCTGTAATTCTTTATGATCTTCATAGCAAGTCGATAACCTGCCTCTTAGTTTTTTGGTTTCCCTTCCTCTAAGAATCTGCTCTAGGTGGATCTTAGGCCTTATCATACCCATAACAATATCCCTTCCAGATTTCCCAAACTCTTGTTTTTAGCCTGGCATGGTGATATGCATCTGTAATCCCAGCTTCTCAAGAGGCTGAGGCAGGAGGATCACTTGAGCCCAGGAATTCAAGGCCAGCCTGTGCAACATAGTAAGACCTGCTATGATTCTGCTTTTAACACCTTCTCTTTCCTGTTTGCTTCCACTGGTTCCCTAAGGATTTCACCAGGGACCTCCAGTCATTTGACCTACTATTTGTCACTCACCACCTGTCCTCATTCCCTCCTTTACAGCTTATATTCTATGCTCTGTCATTATAGTCATTATATATTATCTTATCCACACTTATAACTCTTCTTTTTTTTTTTTGTCTTTTTTTTTGTTGTTGTTGTTAGAGCATTATGGTTACACATAGTCATTGGGTTCATTCTGACAAAATCATACATACATGAACTTTGATTTACTCCATATTGGTCCCCATTTCCCCCACTTTCTCTCCCCTCCCTCTATTCTCCTCCCTTGACTCTACTGGTCTTTCTTTTGCTCCCCCACACACACTTTTCTACCCCCACACATATTTCCCCTTATTTTGCTCTAGCTTCCACATATGAAAAAAAACATTCAACCCTTGATTTTCTCAGTCAACTTATTTCACTTAGTACGAATTGTGCCACTATAAACATAGATGTGGCTGGATTGCTATAGTAGGCTAATTTTAGTTCTTTTGGATGAATAACAAGAAATTGGATAGCCAAGTTATATGGTGGTTCTATTCCTAGTAACTCTTCCTTCTTATTTAACTTAAATATTAGAATCAGGACAGAACTTCAGCATGTTCTGCTCACCAAATCTACCAGCATATCGTAATCTGTGCCCACACATTCTGCCTTGTTGTCATTATAGGAGTGAACTGTCTGTTTGACTCCAGTACTTGGGTACTGGATTCTGTTTCCTTTTGTGGACTGAGGATGTTTTTTTCTGTACTGGGGCAGTGGCATCAGCATGTACACTTGCTAAATATCTTGCAACTTAAAGGAACAAGAACTGTCTCCCAGACCCACATATTTCTTCAGCTACCACCCCCTTTCTCTGCCTCCTTTTATGTAAGGAAAAAAGTGTGCTGCCTCTGCTTCCTTTCTTCCCATTCTCTTGTGTACACCCACTTCCATCAGGCCTCCTCACCAGTATGCCACTGAACCTGCTCATCTTCTTTTAGAAAGTTACCATTGTCCTTGAAACAGATTTTTTCACTTTGTTTCAGAACCTCCACTCCAGGTTCCCCTCCTACATTCATATACAATGCTTCTCATTATGCAGATCTAGATCTTCATCTTCTAAACATCAGTATTTAAATCTCCAAGACCTAACATATAGTCTTCCCTTTTAACTTCCCTAGATGATCCCATCAGTTCCACTGTGTTAAATACCATTTATAAATGTAGACTGTTTTGTAAAAAGAGCACTCATATAGTCTGTTCCCAAATTAATATCTGTGACTTGAACCCTTAAACTCTAGATTCATACATCCACTGACTAGTTGATGTCTATACTTGAAGGTCTGAGAGGTTTCTCAAAATTAACATGTCTAGAGAAGTTTGCTCTTGTCTCCTCCAAATCTTTTCCTCCCCAATTCTTTTCCCGTCTCGGTAACAGGCAGCTATTCTCCACTGCTCAACTGAAAAAGGTTGAGTCATTCCATACTGTTGTCTTTCTTTAATATTCCACATCTGATTCTTCCTTATGGTACTACCTTTTAAAATATATTCAGAATCCAACTGCTTTTAATCCAGGCCACCATCGTCTCCTGCCTGGACTCCCTAACTAGTTTCTGGTTAGCACTCTTAGCACTCTATGGTCTGTGGTTGGCAGAACAGACAGATGATCCCCTTGAAATATCCTGTCTCCTAATATCATGTGACTCCTTTACTCAGACCCTCTACTAGTTGCTCATCCTTAAAAATAGAACTAGAATCCTTACAGTACCTACTAGATCTGACATGATGTGATCTCCAGAGTGGGGAGTGATGAGTTGTTCCTCCAATTTCCTATTCTCCTCCTAAGTACAGATAAGATTGCTTTCATGGATCCTTGAAACCATGTGTCCATTGACTTTAGCCATTTAAGTGCTAGTGGAAATGATGTGGCACCTTTTGGCACAATTTGTCATGCTTTCCCTCCCTCTGCCATGGTGCTGGCAGTATTCTGAGGGTGACTGCTTTCTCAGCCTAGGTTCCAGAGTGAGGAGCAGAGGCCCTGGGTATCCTAATGCAGGTGTGTAGTATGAGCTAGATGTTGGTTTAGACCTCTGAGGTTTGGGGGTTGTCGTACCTGCAGCATACCCCATCCAGCTCTCCTGGATGGCATCCCCTGGCTACCTCCCTGATGATATCGCCATCTTTTTCCTCTCTCTCATTTTGCTTTGGCCACAGGGGCCTCCCTCCGAATCTTCAAACATGGCAAACACATTCCTGCTTTAAGGTTTTAACTACCTGAAATGCCTATTAAAAGTATAAAAAGGAATCTTTACTCCTGAAATATGGACTCTCCAGGTTGGAAGAAGACTTGTTTTATGGTAGACCTATTATGGTAGATTTAATAATACCTAATTTGTATTTCTGTTTATAGCCTGGTGCATTTGTTTTAGATCCAATGTGCGGACTTGGAACAATACTTTTGGAAGCTGCTAAAGAATGGCCAGTAAGTTGTAAAGTTTGGTGTAAACTAAGTAATGTATTTACTTTAATCAGCATGTGTGATCTCTTGCCAGTTATTTACAAGTAGATTGTTTAGGGATTATTTTTATTATATGAGTACAATTCCCTATTATTAAAATCGATTCTGAAGAGTTGATTAAATTGTTGTGTTACTTCTTTTCTCTGTGACAGGATTCCAATAATTACTCATGGGGATTAGATTATATTAATCCTCAAAGTGTTTAGACATTTGTAATGGTAAAACATTAATAGATTTTAAAATTTTAATAAAAACTTTTAATTTTTAATTTATATAGTATTCTTATAAAAGAACACTATAAATTTTGTTATAACTTGAATTTTTTTAATTATTGATTTAATTTTCACCATTTGAGAAAACACAAGATGTCCTTAACTACTGAAATATCTAACAGTTGTATTTATACTGAAAACATACATGACTTTCTTTCCCCATAGAGTGCGTACTATATGGGTGCTGATGTCAGCGACTCACAGTTACTTGGCGCATGTGACAATCTGAAAGCTGCAGGCCTTAAGGATAAAATTGAGTTGCTTAAAGTCTCTGTTATAGGTAAGATAATAAAAGCAAGATCATTTTTCTATATATAAAGGCTTAATTTCTGTACCTTATAATATATCTATGGGGCTAAAACTCAGATTACTTCCAGAATTGTAACTTTTTAATTTTTCAAAAGGTTTATGATTGAGAAGCAACATTTAAAACATTAGCATTTAAGTAAAAGTATGCCTTTTCAAGTGGTATTTGTTGCATCTCAATTATTCTTATTTCATAATCTGGGACCAGATAATATAGGCATTAGACAGCAGTATAATAGTATAATAGTAATAATTTTAATTTCTTTCAGATAAACTATATGAACTGTTCTGAATTATTTTTCCTTCTTCCTACCTCACATTAGATAGTACCCCTGATATATACAGGAATAAGTAACTACCTGTCACAGTTTGCAAAACTAGTACTTTCAAGAAGCCAGGAAGGCCTGGGGCAAATCTGGACCCTGGACCATTGGTCACCTGTGAGATAGAGAAACAATTGCTGCCTCTTTACTGATATGATATCAGCAGTGACAAACTTGATTGGGAATCAGATCTGTAGAGTCCTGTCAAAATAACGTTTCTCTAATATCCATGGTATTCAGATTATTATAAAGTAACCTCACGTTTCTTATTTCTTCTGTTTCTTTAACACACCTCTCTTTAAAAATGTCATGTTTCATTTCCAGCTAAGGAATTTGAGTTTTCTTGGCACTGGATAGGTATCAAGCCTATAGTCAAGAGGAACAAAATATCATTTAAAATTTTTTGTTAAAATAGAAAAGTAGGAAAGATGAGTATCAACAGAACAAAACATGAGGATAACTTCTGTGTAAAAGCATAATAAAGCAGCCAGGGTCATTGAGATCTCACAGTTGATTGTGGCCAGTGACTGCATTTTAGCCATTCTGCCAATAGTCCAGTAGGACTCTGTGCATAAGACACAAGTTTCCAAAGTAAACTAAGAGACGATCAGACTGAAATCAGCTATCATAGACCCTAATTTCCTTATAAATGTTTCTGAGACCTTTAAGGAAACTGGAATCATTTCATCAGCTGATCCAGAGCAGTGGTTTGGAACCTTTACATTTGCCAGAGCACCCTGTAGGCATGAGGAAAGGAACATAGAGCTGCCTACCAGACCCCCACCACACCCCTTCACTTTTATCTGTTTTCATTTTGGAGGCATTTCCCATGAAGTGTTACTTTAAGGAAAAAAAAAAAAAAAGCAAAGACACTCCACTGTTTTTAAAACAAAAGGAGTTCTCTGTGGCATCAGGTAACCAAACAAATCCTAGTTTTTGAAAGTATCCCTCTAACTCCCATGGTAAGAATAGACTAGTGGAGCAAGGGTGGAAGCAAAGACTGTTGCAGTAGTCCAGTAAGAAAAGATGGTGGCTTGGGCCGAATTGGAGTACCTGAAGGTGATGGAAAAGAGGTCAAGTATTTATCTTTGAAAGTAGATCAAACAGGATTTGTTGTTGGATTGGGCAATGGAGTGTGAGAGCAAGAATGAGAATAACAACTGAAAGCAGCCAGAGGGTGCAGGGAAGCCTGAAGGAAGAACAAGTTAAGAGTTTTGAACCTTTTCAGTTTTACATGATTATCAGATACCGTGTAGAGAAGATGTCAGGTTAGTAGCCCAGCATGCAAATCTGGAGTTGGAGAGTACAGATAACATTTAAATCCATGAGATCATTTAGGGAGTGAGTATAAACAGTGAAAGGAAAGAACTGCGCTCTTGAGCACATTCAGATGCTTTGAGTGCTAGAACTGAGTATCTAGTAGAGGAATAGCCAATGATGTGAGAGGATCCAGGGAAGAGAGAGGGTAACCAGCTGTGGGACCCACTGCCAGTCGGTGAAGTAAACTGAGGCCAAGGGTTGTTTCTGTGGAGCAGCAAGAACATAGGCCTGCCTGGAGTGGGCATGAGAGGTGGGAGAGAAGAACTTAGAGATGGCTAGTTGAATTTCTGTGGGTTTTTTTGTTTTGTTTTGTTTTGTTTTTTTCTGTACTGGGGATTGAACCCAGGACCTCGAGCATGCAAGGCAAATCACAGAGCCCCCATGAGGGCTAGTTTAGATCATTCTCAGGAGCACTTTGGTTGGTAAGGAGAGCAGAGAATGGGGTAGTAACTGAAAGGAAGAATACTGGGAATCAAACAGAGTGTGTTTGTTAGTTTGTTTTCAGTGCTGGGGATCAAACCTATGGCCTTGCACATGCCAGGCAGGTGCTCTGCCACTAAGCTACATCCCCAACCTTAAATGAGAATTTTTTTAGAAGATAGAAATCAGAATTAATTTTAGGTACAATGTGTTTGTATGTCAAAAATCAATGATAAAATAAAGAGGAAGAATATAGCATTGCAGAAGAGAAAAAAAATTGCTCATTTACCATCCTTGAGGCGCCTGAGAAGGGAGGTATCCCAGTGCACAAGTGGTGGTACATGCACTCCTAGGACAAGAGAAGGCAGAGAGGAGGACAGTAGAGTTGTGATGGGTCACACCAAACTAGCAGCAGAGGTTAGTGCACGTTTCCAGAAGCCTTTGTTGATGTGTCACTATTTTTAGTACAGTTTTTAAAACTTTGCAAATTTAGTTTGTTTAAGTGCCTTTCTTTGACTGTTACTGAGTTGAATGTTTTTCATGTAATGTCATTTATAGATTTTTCTTTTGTGAATTACTTGTTTTTAGAATGGCTTTCAGGAAGAAAGACTAAAGCATCTATTGTAAGCTGTTTTATCATCATAGACTTTAATGGTGAATTTCAGTCTGGGGATCTGTAGATCTTACTAAGAGAGCCAGTATTAACTCTTTAATTATCAGCCCTCTGTTTCATATCTCTATGTTAGAGGTGGATATTCTAACTAAATTATTTTTTCTTTAACGGTTCTCATCATAAGTACAATTTAGAATGCTGAGACCCATGAATCCCTTTTTAACACTGACAGATTTCAGGATCTCACACCTATTGACTGTTGTAACTAAGAACATGTGTGAATTCTGGCTTTATTGTTGTTTCTTTTCTGTGTGGCCTTCTGAGAAATCTGAACCTCTCTGTATTCTTTGTATTTACAAGATGACGATAATAATACCTACTTTCTGAGGCTTTGGTGAGCATTTATACATTAATCCATATGGCATAGTGCCTAATACATATTGTGAATTAAAGACCTCTGTATGTGTGGTTATGTCTAAGACATATGGAAATGTGCACTAACCTCTGCTGCTAGTTTGTGACCTTTCTCAAAACTACTGTCCTCCCGTCTGCCTTCTCCAGTCCCAGAGCATGTCTCACCACTTGTGCACTGAGATACTTCCCTTCTCATGTGCCTCAAGTATAGCAAATGAGCAATTTTTCTGTTCTCCTGCAACATTATATTCTTCTTTTTTATTTGATCACTGATTTTGACATACAAACACATTATACCTAAAACACCCATCATTATTTATGTTTCTACACAATCTCATTCTCTCTATTGTGCTTTAATGACTTTATTTTTTTCTACTTTTTAAAGTAATATTCACTTTGTTTTATAACTCTGTACTACTATTAAAAAAAAGAAATTGTGTGTATTTATTCCTGAGTTTTAATCATCATGGCAGTTAAGAATCAAATGAATATTATGTTATAAGTTATCTTAGGAAATGACAGTTAATCACTGTTTGGGTTTTAATCTATGGATATATGTACATTCTCAATATAAGATGAAAGCTGTAACAATCAGATTTGAGCCAGAGAAACACATTTATGATTTAGTTAAAATATGAACAGCATAGGTAGGAGCTGGGCACAGTGGTACATGCCAATAATCCCAGGAGCTCTGAAGGCTGAGGCAGGAGGATTGTGAGTTCAAAACCAGCCTCAGCAAAAGCAAGGTGCTAAGTAACTCAGTGAGACCCTGTCTCTAAATAAAATACAAAATAGGGCTGGGGATGTGGCTCAGTAGTCAAGTGCCCTTGAGTGCAATCCCCCGTACAAAAAAAAAATAAAATAAAATAAGATATGTAGGTAAAAAGGAATGTTTTCAGCATTCCCGATTAGACATTCTACAGGCTGTCACATGTCACATCAGTGGTAGAGTATAAAACAACAAGATTATTGCAACTACTGTACTTTGTTCTCAGGTGGCGTTTATTGCCAGTAGTAGGATGGGCTTTTTCCACCACATCTGTCCATGCACCAGGCATGGTTACATTTTCCTTCATGCTAGTGCATTTTCCTGCTGCTCATCCTGCCCACACTGCCTTGGCCCCTACTCTTTCAGCACAGCATCTCGTGGCCCATGCCGTCTTCTACAAGATTTGTGAAGCTGCCCGACTACCTGATTTGGAGAGTCAGGGAAAGTGGAACCTGATTGTTGGGTTGTCCATGAAGTATGTGTAGGAAATAGGGGAAAGAAGCTCACCACCTAGAGAGTGTCCTGGCAGCAAAGATCTTTTCCTTTGTTGTGCTCTACTGTTATTGTGTGTATTGGATGATCATATGGTATCATTTTATTGTTCAGTAGCACTTCTGTTTTATAATAAACTTTTTTAGCAGCAATAAATTTTTTAAACATGCATTTTAAATTAAAAAGTACTGAGTTTCCATTTCTCAAGAAAGGTAATGATGAACACATAACTTGAGTAAAATGTCTGTTGACATTTACCATCTACTATGAGGGCCCAAATGAAAGAAATCTATGTATGGCAGCATCTAGCATTTACTTCAAAACCTAGCAGTTATTTTAAGGATACTTGGCCAAAGCCAATTATTTATCACATGAAGCTGAAGAAAATGCATTTAAGTATCACTCCATGAAGCATGACTTTTCATTTAGATTAAATGACTATTCTTCTAAATTAATTTTGCTCATATTCAATTCCAAGTTTTCTCATGCGCATAAGCAAAATGAAACTATGGCTATTGATATTTTAGCTCCACTAGAAGACCTTTGCAGACAAATATTGCCAGTTTTGTAGCAACATCTTTGGATGCTTCCAAATAAAATCAAATTAAGCCAATTCCAGTAGTAGTTCAGCTTTTTCCCCCCTAATTCTTGGAAATGTAGATTTTTCCTTGTGAAAAATGAAACATCCTTGTAAATGTTACCATAAATTTAGTTCAGCATTGCATGTGTCTCCACTTATGCATTAATTTGGTAGACCAACACAGGAGAAAAATTCATATCTTGCTAAAACCTACGGAGTAAAGTACCTGAAATTTAACATGGTACCATATAACTCGTAATTACCTCTGGTTTGCAGCCTTCTGTCAATTGATATAGTTTTTAAAATAATCAGCACTTTATTTTTTAAACATACACAGAGTAATTGACTGCAAGCTATTTGCAATGAAGTTTTGCTTGAATGCAAAACTATACTGCAGTGTAGTGATACACTTTCTCTCTGTCATTAGTTGGATTTAAAATTTGAAGCTTTTGAAGAACTACTTTGTAAAGCAGTCCTACGGTAGTGCTATAGGCTTTGCTTAAAAGATAAACAAGTTGCCTAATTTTGTTTTCATTTTGTTCAAAATCCATTGGTGATCTGTAATCAAAGATTTCAGCAAATGGACTAACAGAACTGTTGCTTTTGAATTTTTTTGTGAATTTCAGTTATTAAAAACAAAGTTGGCAACAGGAAGACATTTAAATCTATCTCTAAAAACACCAAGAAAGACATGAACACATTATTTCAAGCTCAGTAATCTTCGAGATTTAATTCTCAAATTCTGTAAATGTACTTTGGATATATTGTGGGAAGAATCTCTTGATGACTTTCATCATTTTAATTAGACATCTGTGTCTTCTAAAATGGAATGGAATGAAATTGAGAAGGCCTTAATTTTGCAGTATCTAAATTTGGCAAAACAAAAGAATAGTAGAGTCAACTTGAATTTTGTGTTGTGGAAATATTTGTCAAAGGCATTCTGGAAGGACTGTGAACTGGAGAACTGAAATCTTTACCTTATCTATATGAAAAAAAAATAGAATTGAGAAGAGTCAAGAGTATCTTCCATTTTGCAAAATTTGCTCTGATCTCTAGAGTTACTTTAGCACATGTAAACAAAGTATTTCCTCAGATAAACATATTGTAATTTAAGAGAAGTTTTTAAACATGAAAGTGAAGCTTTGAAGATCACAGGCATTTTATTAAAAAGGCAACTTAAAGTTCCTATTTTTAAAAACACTGTATTCTTCAGAAAAATACCAGTGACGACATGGGATTAGAGACTAATACATGTACGAAGCTGGTCAGTGTGTGGGTGAATATATACCACAACTATTTTGCCTATTACTATTTTAAAAGTTCATGGATCCTTATTTTTAGGTTCCCCATATTAAACCAATAGTAAGTATTTTGTAAGTATAAACTTTTCTTTCTAGCATCCTCATTCTTGGCAGTGTTCCTGACTGTACTATTGTATGGCAACCAATCCACATGCCACACTATATGGTGCTTATTTAATTATTATAGACTTCTGGATCAAGATGGCAGATTAAAATTTCAGTGAAGGATTTGCATTCTCTTACACTTAATTGAAATGAGAAAAAAGAATAATAAAGATAAAGGAAAAAATCTATCAGCAGCAACTAAAGAAGGGAAAATGATCTAATGCAGTGAACTTAATTTTATTTTGGCCACAATGGAAATAAGCAAAGTTATAGAGCAATTGCCAATAGAATAGTGTTTATTTATAATGTTCTGAGATCCCTATTTATAAGGTTACTGAAGCAGAATGTGATGCAGAAATATTATACATAACTAAAATGTTATTTTTGAGGAGACATTTTCAATATGAAACAGTTCAGGCAACATTTCAGTAGTAGGCTTTTGGCAGGGGGAATTTTTAATAAAATCCAGACATTTAAGAGATGAATCAGCAGAGGAACAGAGATTGAATTAATTTAAATATAGAACTAATTTTAAATAACTATGGGAATTATTGTTATGTGACAGACATCAAAGTAATAAACCTGGACACTGGAAAGAATAACAAACAGCAGAAAGTATAGGAAGGAAAGTAGGAAGAAGAATGTAATCAATTCTATAAAAGCCCTCAAACAACCTAGTCTTTGTTAAGTATATACATAAAAAAGATACCTGGAAGGCCCATAAAACCTTCTGAAAGAAAATACCTGGGTGCCATAATGAGTTTTAGGCAATTTTTACCCACTTTTTTCTCAGAAAAGGGGAAAATGGGGCAGTTCTTTTATTCAAAGCAACTAGTATTTTAAAACTATTTTTTTCATGTTCTTCAATCATCCTGAAGAGATGTTTTAAAAAAAATGATATTTGCTTGTTTTGAGCTATTTCTATTTTAGTCTTATCTCTTTAGTTACAGGCATACTCATAGCCAGTTTAAAGTATTTAATAATTAAAAAGTCTTTACTCTGTATTTAGTCCTACAGGTTAGGTGCTCACAGTTTTAGAAGTTTTTTGAACTCTTTGAAGGATTCTGGCCCACTGGGCTCCACCTGACTGTCATCTCCTATAGACATCAGAGAGGACACTGTAAATAATAATTTAAAAATAGCTAGTATTCATGGAGTGCTCACCATGTGCCAGGCACTGTTCTAAATGTTTTCCCCCATTTATTAACTTCTAAGGTAGGCACTGCCATTCCATTTTACAATGAGGAAACTGAAGCAGTAGCCTCCCAGAGTCCCATAGGTAACTAGTCTCAGAGCCAAACACAGCAGGCTGTCAGCCTGCACTGCACACCACAGCAACGGAAGTTCAGATTATTTCGTCCTTGGATGGAAGATGTCACTGCTTAATTCTGGAACTTTTTAAAAAATTAGTCTTGTCTACCTATGTGAATTTTATTCCTTCTAAAGTTATTTATAAATCAGTTTAGCAAATTATATAATATAGAAAAAATGGAGAACAACCAGAACTAAAAAAAGAAGAAGAAGATTACCAAACCTGGACAAACTGGGCAACTAATAAACTAATTTACGGGTAGGTGCTGTGTGTGTATCAGGCAGAAGAAAGACTTGTAATTAAGCAAAGTTGAATATGTCTTGTATTTCCTCATATGTAAAACATTTGATCACTGTGATTTCCTTCGTTATTTATTGTCTTTAGTCATTTTGCAAAAAGTATAGAAAGGCTGAAATGGATGTGTTCAGTATCAGCACCCTAAAACACAGCACATGAAGTGAAACATACCTTGGGTGGGCTTTGGCTTATGATAGAATGCTTACCTGGGATTTAATTCCTAGAACTGCAAAACAAACAAAAATGGAAAAAAAATAAAAGAATTCCTGCCTAGGTTTAAAAGATACTACTGCCTTTTTTCTAACACTCTGCTTTTCTGCTGCTCTCTCACAAGGTTTAGGATTAGGAGACAGCCAGCAAGTGGTCATTAGATTTTGCCAGATAAGAGGAATTTTTGTTTTGCTTTTAAATTTCCTGCCAACCAAAATTTATATGATATTTAACAAAGATTATTTAAACTTTATTGCATTTCTATAGGATTAGGTTGCATTTTTGCATTGAAATTTGAGAACCCTTCTACCTTATGCATACTTGATTGACTTGATGGGTGGGAAAGGGGAAGACACACACAGGAAACCTGGGTGCGAAGGTTGGGTATATTGCCTTATAGAAATGTAATGCTGAGAAGAAAATGTTAAGAGAAGCAGGAAATTTCAATTTAATGATCAGATACCGTATTTAGTTTTGTTTAGCGATGATATTCATGGTGTTGATTTTTGATCTTATAGCTTTTTCTCTAATCTTAGGGCTTTTATAGATATTTTTAACTTTTTAAGTTCCCCCTGAAAAATATAATGATAGTTGTGGATTCTCTCTTAGAAACTGAAACCTATCTTACAAAAATTTATATATAATAATGAAAGGGAAATAGAATATAATGTTGTAAAAACATTTTCTAGACAACATATTTCTTCCTGAATCCCACAACTGTCTGTGCATGTAATATGTCTAGAAAATTGAGTTTTTCTGGTTAATTTAAAATTCCACTAAACTTACATCATTTTATAACATTTGAAAACCCATTTTTTCAAAGGACAAAATACAGTAAATAACTATTAATCTTTAGATATTTAGAAAGCATTTTAAGATCATGTGGTTACCTCGAAGCAATATTACCAACCCTAAATTTTATTCAACATGCAAAACTAATTGTGTACTTCAGTTTTCTCATTATCTACATTACAATATTTGACCTTACTATAATAGGATTCTCTGATTTCTGTATTTCAGAATTGCCACTGCCTTCAGACAGTGTCGATATTATTATTTCTGACATTCCATTTGGAAAAAAGTTTAAATTAGGAAAAGACATCAAAAGCATTCTACAGGAAATGGAAAGGTGAGTTGTTGAATTTATTTTCATAATTTTTTAGCTTCTGGGCATTAAACCAAAATATATCATTGCTCTTAACATCTGATTGCATTATTTTTCCCAGATTTTTATGGTTTAATTTCTTAAGATTTCAAGTCAGAAGTTTATAATTGAAATAAATGTTATTCCATATCATCTTGTACTGTAAATTTTATTCAGAAAAAAATTTTTTTTCTATTTCATTCACTGGGCTACATAATTTACATATATGTTTCTAATCCTCACAAAAACCAACACTGTACAGATGAGAAACTGAATCCCAGAAAGTTGAACTTCCTCATGATCACAATTGATGCTAAAACAACTTAAAGGAATCCTGTCACAAGAAACAGGGAACAAGGCCAGCATTGGCTGTGAAATGAAAGTGCAGCACAGGACATTGTTCATCTCAGGGCTTCTAATTTGACATCAGGGAATATAATTTAATAGAGGGGTTCAAATAGTGAGACCTAGATATGTATTTTTCTCATTATTTAAGTTGGTAAAGGAGTGAACCTAGAATGCTACAGGAATGAATAGACACCAAAAAAGATCAATTCATGTTAAGTTGTTTCATATGCGCTTTTATTTGATATACTAGGTTAACATAAATGTCGTAATCTACCATGTGAATAATGTGTCACATATTCTTAAAAAATGCACACATATTGGAGAAACTTCAGTGTCAAGGATGACAGTACACAAAATTAAAGCTTGACTCAAAGTCTAAGCCCAAGTCAGAGCCATCTCACTGTGTCTTGTAAGTTGGGTGCTTCACACTTCTTTTTGAATTGTCTTATTTCTAAGCCACTTCCCCTCCTGCCCAGTTACCTAACTTTTAGGGACCTTTCTTTCTGAGCACCAACTCTTAATTCAGACATCTCCTGAAACCCATATACTCCCTGCTTCCTAGTATCACATTCCCCTACAGTTTCACATTGCATATTTTGCATTTTAAAATCATTGCAGAACTTTTTTTTTTTTTTAATATTTATGCCCCACTTTCCCAGCTACCCTCTACCAAGGCTCTAATTTAACTGATCTGAAGTAGGACCTGGATGTCAGTACTTCTTTCTTTCTTTTTTTTAAAATTTATTTATATATGACAGTGGAATGCATTACAATTCTTATTACACATATAGAGCACAATTTTTCATATCTCTGGTTGTATACATAGTATATTCACACCAATTTGTGTCTTCATACCTGTACTTTGGATAATAATGATCATCACATTCCACCATCATTAATTACCCCATGACCCTTCCCTTCCCCTCCAACCCCTCTGCCCTATCTAGAGTTTGTCTATTCCTCCCATGCTCCCTCTCCCTATCCCACTATGAATCAGCCTCCTTATATTAAAGAAAACATTCGGCATTTGGTTTTTTGGGATTAGCTAACTTCACTTAGCATTATCTTCTCTAACTCCATTGGATGTGAGTACTTCTTAAAAACTCCTAGTATAATTGTTGTGCAAGCAGGATTAATAACTAAACCTTTGAGCCTAATAAGGTAATTCACCATTTATATCATTAACCGATTCACAGTGAGATATTAATATGTGATCAGTGACATGCATTTAACCTGGACCTTTTCAGAACAAAGATGACTCAACCTAATTCAAAATCTAGTGCTGCCTATTTTATGTATCTCCACAAGTCAGGAGTGAACGGGTAGGAATTTGAATAGACAGTCCTTTCAGCACTAGTAAATTATACCAGCCTGACATTATCTAGGCTGGTTTTTTATTTTATTCCAAGTAATTGAAAGTGAAATGATAGATTTGACTACCCTTTTACCATGGCAGTAAATTTTAATATTTACCTGAGAATCCAAAAGATGAATAGTCAAATTTCCTGCATAATTAGAGCACCTCCATAGGACCAGTTCAAAGTGTGTGCATTTGAATATAAGGGACTTTTCCATCTCCTGTACCCAGGCTTCCTTACCACCTGCCCCAACCTCTGTGATCTGACTTTCAACTTCTTGTGGTTTGAGGTTTGATACAGAAAAGACAGGATGCTAGGGTTAAGAGAACAGGCTTTGGAGCCAGGCTGCCTGGGTTCTAGTATTGGCTCTAACTCCTCATAGTTCTTCAGTCATAGGCATACTGCCTGACTTCACACCTTGTGCATAATCTTTAAATCTTAACACCTACCTTGCAGCCTTGTTCAGAGGATTCAGTAGATTTAAAGCTTTTAGAACAATGCTGGGCACCTAGAAAATGCTCAGTATCCGTTAGCTCTTGCCTGATTTTTTTAGTGTAAACTACTTCAGATCCTTTGGGAAGGAAGTGGTGATACATATAAAAATTTAAGTACACATAACCTCTTCCAGTGATTTACTGATGATTTAGGCCTTATATAAGAATTGAAAGAGATGGGGAGTTTTATTAATAAAAAGAAGAAAAAATTACAAGAGGTCAGTAAACCTGTTCATAATAAGCAGTGGAAATAGCTGATCCTATATATAGTATCGTGCATGCATCAGAATTAAAGTTTGTCAGACAAATGATTACTCTATTGACTTGAATTAGGCACTCTCAGCTCAATTATTTCCTCTTTTAATTCATTTAAATATCACCCATTTCATGAATACAGAGCATTTTGAGGAATTTAGGGAAGTTTAATATGGGTTTGCTTTCTAAATATAGCCATGTAAAATATATGAGCAAAATTAGAAATTCAGCTTGCTCAGCTTGAAGGTGGAGGCAGTCCTATGTGACAAAAAGACATGAGATGATCAGGGAAGAAGCAAAATTTCAGTGAATTTAGAAGTTGAGAGAGAATAAAAAGAGACCACAGATGTTTGGTGAATGTTTGAGTGAATACTGAAGGAAAGGTGTTTTCAAGGACTGTGAGTAGAGCAGACCGCCTGGAGCAGAGGACTTAGTACGTGGGTAAGACCTACTATATTTCATGGTCAAATAATTTAGAATTATTCATGTCATCTACTCTGGTCTTGCAGGTCTCTCTTTTATCTTGTTTGATACAGAGTGTTCCTAACTTATGAACCACAAAATTTCTTTTCAAGAAATAATCAAATACCCCATATGCTAGTGTTCAAAGGGATACAGTTTGGGAAATATTGCTTTGTAATTTTTTAATAGCTTTCTTAGTGAGAAATTATATGTAAATGAAAATATGCCTACAAAATGTTAAATTTCCATGTGAGTTTTACTTTCTTATTGCCTCCATTATTTAAAAAAAAATTATAGTAAATAAGTTGGTGATAGGCATCTTGCCTTGTACTTCGGTATAAATAGATACTTGTTAAGTAGAATCATTGTTAATTTACTGTATCTTGCTTTTTTCCCACTCAGCAGTATGTCATGAATCTCCTTTATGATCAGTTGTATTGTACATTATAATTTCCAATAATTGCCACAGTATTATATGTGTTACCATTATGTAACCAATACTTATGGATGTAGGTAATCCTCAATTTTTTTATTTTAATAAAGAACAATGCCTTGAACATTTTTACAGTTTTTCAAACTTACTATATGATCAAGTTGCTTAAAACCAGTATCTTAGTTTCTTCATGTTTAAAATTACAATGCTAACCAGCCATACATAAAAGGACAAATCAGAGTGTTAAATAATATGTAATACAAAATATTTTAAATGGTGCCTAGTACATGATAAGTGCTCAATAAATATTTGCTATCATCACATTATCAATATTATTCTACTACTGCTGTTATATCTTCTTAGAATAATTTCTTAGAAGTGAAATAGATGGATAAAGGTTATGTACATTTTTTTATTTTTGATACATTATTGATAGTTACTGTTCCAAAACATTTCCCTCTTTAAGAGTACTCATTTTCTCATAATCTCAATTGTTTATTTTCATCTTTGTTAATATAGTGGGTAGAAGGGTTATATCTCATGTATTATTTTAATTGTAATGTATGTGTTTAGAGACATTTGTATATTTTCTTGCTTGTGTCCCATGGTATACAACTGCATCTGTCTTCATCCCACCTCCTTGTCTCAGGAGAAGTCTCTCTTCTGGCCAGGGTATCCTGCTCATTCCCTCCTCCTCAAGGATAGCACTCTGCCCACTTCTCATTCCTACCTTCAGCTTAATTTTCTCCTCATTTTTTTCCCAGAGAATCGGCCATTTTTCCCCATATACTTTGTGAGTATTTACACAGTTCATCACTGCACGAGGTCCTGAGGATAGATACAGGCATCGACTAGGACAGAACAGGCCCCAGACCACCTTGTATGGGAAGATGGATTGTTAATGAGTTGACACACAGGGTCATTCCAGATCATAAGTCAAATAAAATAGGATATTTTGCTGGAGAGTAAGAGAAGAGTAGTAGCTACCAGAGACAGGTAGAAAGTCAGAAAGATTGCTCCATAGAGGTGACATTTGAACTCTGGGACTTTAATGAGAAAGCACGCAAGGGATGAGAGTTAAATGTACAGCAAACAGCAGAACCAGCAGTGCCAAGGCGAGCAGCAGGCTGGTAAGGTCGAGCAGCTGAAGGAAGGTCACTGCGGAGGGAGGCAGGCAGGCAGCAGCCGTAGGTGAGGTCAGTTGTGGAGGGAGATTGAACTGACTGAAGGGCCATAGAGCAGCTGGAGAGTTAGCAAGCATTCGCATCTGTCTTCTGTGTGGAAACTGGGAAGGAGAGTGGGAGGGTACTAAGAATGGAAATAAGGCCTGTCTATCAGGAGATTGTTACTAAGTCCAGACAGAATATGAATATGCAGATGAACATGTGAAACAGTGTGGAGACAGAATTATCTGGGTTTCCTGATGGAATCGATGAAAGAAAGCTCCCTTCGCGCTTCAGTCTTTCCCTGTGACCCTTGGTCCTCTAGCTTCCTTACCTGTATAACTAAATTTCTTGAACAGTCCATACTTGATATCTCTGCTTCCTCACCTCCCATCCTCACTCAACCCCAGCAGACCCATGTCTATCTGCTCCTGTCCTCATCTAGGCTTGCTGTCCCCGGGTTGTCTGATGACATCTTATAATCCTGGTCCTTGTTAGTCCTGTAGCATTTGACACTGTGAGACCACCCACTTCTTGAAACTACGTCTTGGGCTTCCAGGACATCACAGTTGTCCAGATTGTTCTCTTATGGTATCTGTTCATTGTGCTCCTCTCCTCTGTCCTTCCTCAGACCTCCTATGTCTTCCTTAGTCTTTTTTTTCTCACTCTGTTGCCACCCAGATGACCCCCTCCACCCTATGGCTTTGTCTGCCTTTCACTAATGAAAGCTCTTGTCCCTCTACCTCAAGCCTGGTCTTTCTCGGTGCTTCTAAACTGAGTACCCTGCTATCTGGGAATCTGCACTGTGCGTTCCTCAGGCACTTTCCAAACTGAACTCTGCTCTTCCTACTCTTCCTCCTCTTAACCTCTGTTTTCCCCATAAGGCTGGTGGCTTTCAGTGACCCTCCACCTCATGCCTTCCTGCGTCTCACCTCTTCTGCCTCCAGCCACCTCCCTAGCTCCAGCCTACGACTTCCTGGATCAGTCCTGCTTGTCCTTCAACTCACCACACAGACATCTTACTACTGGGGAATTTTCCCCTCACCTGTGCCTGGATTGGGACCCACCTCGTGTGTTTCCAGGGCCTTTACATGTGCCTTCATGGTGGCCTTTATCACCCCCTGCACTCCTCACGTGCCTCTCCCCCAGTGCTCAGTAAATCTACACCTTGTCATGGTTCCACCTGAGGCTGTAAATGAATCCTCCTCAAAGGGCCATAGTCACGGTCTGCCCCGCTTTGTCTGAACTTCCCTTTGCCATCTCTTTGTTCATGTCCTAACTCCTCCCTGGTGACTTTCTCCTGCCATCATCCTCCTGCCTACTCAAATATGCTGATTCTGTAGACTCTGTCACTTGCCTTTTTCTCTGTACAATCATTTATTAGAATGTGACTACAAATTACTTTGAGGCTTGCCTTTTAAGTAGAGTAAAAATAGATAATTAAAGCAGATTTGTACTAGAGATTCAATAATTACTATAATGAATATGTATTATGGAAGATACTACCTAATTACCAAAAATCCTTGTATTTAAATAGAGAAAATTAAATTTCAAATTAAAAACAACTATTTTAAATAAAGCAGGATTGTTTGTTGTCTAAAAAGAAAGAAGTACTCATCCTAATTACCCCATTCTTTGTCACAGAGTGCTGCATGTTGGTGGAACCATTGTCTTGTTGCTTAATGAAGATCACCACAGGCTCCTTAAAGACTGCAGAGAGGGCAATAGCCCTCTCAACTCCAAGGGCAGCCACACCCATGAACCTGAAATTAAGAAATGCTTGAATCCTGAAGAAAACACTGGCACATCAGAGATGGTTCCATCTTCACATGAAACCAGTAACAACGCGTGCTTAAACAAAATGTCACCTTTTGGCTCTTTGGTGCCAGTGGAATACTACAAAGTTAGCTTAGGAAAAACAGAAGCATTCATATGCAAGTATAAGAAGTCACACAGTTCTGGACTGTAATGGGTTTGGGCTTGCTGCTAGCGAGCCAGGTGGAATCCTGTTTGTCCTGAGACTTTTTTTTTTTTTTTTTTTGGCACTGGGGATTGTACCCAGGACTGTCCCACCACTGAGCTACATTCTCAGCGCTTGCTATTTTTTAAATTGTGACACAGGAGACGGGAACTTACTCAGTTACATAGGCTGGCCTCGAACTTTGATCCTCCTGCCTCAGCCTCCTGAGTAGCTGCATACTATCTTAGACCACCACACTTGCTCTGAGATTCTTTATAGCACCCACAATTTCAAGTAAATAATCCCCTGAAGACAGGAGCTATGGTGAATTGGCACCCTCTCATTAAGAATTTCTGCTTTATGCTCCAAAGCATTCTACATTCTTGACAAAGAACAGTTATTGAATATTTTGGAAAAAAACTCATGTTCTAAGGTCTGTCAATATGAAAATCCTGTTCTGCCATGCACAGTTTATGAGCAGAGACTTCTCTTCCAAATAAATATTTCTAAGGGTTCACATGAATCCTTCAGTCAACACAAGGTTGAGAAATTTTAACTATCAGGTTGTAGAAACATAGAAACCTTTATGTGTAACTTCTTTTGATATTAAACTTGATTTTTTTTGAACCTGTAATTTTCTTCTCCATTGGAATGAAAATAATTTTTATTTGCAGTACATTTTATACAGCTCGTGATAAAAAATATCAGTGAAAATAATAACAACATGAATTAAGTCAGTAGCCTCCAACGTGATAGAAAATGAAGTTTACTTTTTCTTTCTGAACAACATTAATAAATTGCCCCCTTATATGTCTTGTGTTGATTCTGTGAGAAGAAGAAATAGGAAGTGGATGAAAATATAGCTCTGATTTTTTTTTCAACATCCTGATATAGTGGCTCAACTTTTTGTCTGACTTAATACCATTCAAACAACCTGTGTTTGGGAGATTTCCTACTATGTGAAGCCCCAAAATTTGCTTTCCAACCAGGGCATGGTCTGTCTTCCAGGCCAGTGTCAAGCTACATTACACGTGCAAGCTGTGGCATTTGTGCCTGTGAGCAGCAGAAAAGTAGTCACCAGAACATTCCTGTCCTGAAGCTTGCCTCTCTGGCCTTCCTAGAAGTTCTGAGAGCTACCAGCTACCTCAACTACATTCCTTTTTTGTTAAAATCGTGTAGATTTGTCTGTTAGCAACCAGAACTGTAACATAGAGATACTCTGAGGGGTTTCAAGCAACATGCCCCCAGACAGGTGATTCTGTTAGTAGTTATCTGGCTTGCTTAGGGTTAAGGAAGACTTAAGCTAGTATTCTAGAAAGTGTGTGGCATGTGATGATGGTAGAACAATTCATTATTCCTATGCTTATTCCACTGCCAAGAGAAGCATCAATAACCTGAGAAACATAAGCAGGATTGAGGGTGAACTATCTACTTTTAACAGAATTTGACAACTAGAAGAAAAAGATCAAGATTCCCGTAGTCCTTATTCCTTGGATTAATGCAATGGCCTCAGCTATGGGCGACTTTGCCCCAGGGAACATCTGACCATTTTGGCTGCTACATCTTGGAAGAAAGAGGGTTGGAATCTAATGAACTAAGGAAAACCAAGGACACTATTAAACATCCTACAGTGCACAGGACAGTCCTTCACAACAATGAATTAATTGGTTCAGAATGTTAGCAGTGATCAAGTTTTGAAACAGTGGCTTTGTTCATGATAGAACATGCCAGGAATATATATGTGTGTGTGTGTGTGTGTGTGTATTTTAGTTCTATGTGGTGCTGGGGATTGAACCCAGGGCCTCACAAATGCTAGGCAAATGCTCTACTACTGAGCTACAACCCCAGCCCAAGGAATTTCTTAATGATTATTCCAGAGAACCTCTATTTCTGGTAGCCATTGGACTGAGCTGAAAAAATGAACTCAAGACTTTGATCCTGTGAGATGCTGAATTATCCGCTGAATTCACAGCCTAGTAGGTCTCTAAGGTGAAAATTCGTACTTGATTAGGAAAGGGGGGATCCTGAGAATTGGGATGGAGACACAGGTGACTCAAATAACTCATAGCCCAGGGAGCCTCCTGAGCCAGAAGCAGCAGCTCTTCTCCTTTCCTGATGAGGCTCTCCTGGAAGGTGCTCATAGCCTAGATTCTCTTGCACAGGGAAACCAGTTTTTTTCATGTGCTTCATGTCTCATTGCTTCTAGAACTTAAAATCAGAGCCCAGGAGGCTTGGGGCCTGTGGAGGAAAAAGGCTTGCATATCAGAATTCCAAACACTTCTAATTGATAAGGCAAAATCCTAGCAAATATGAGAGGATCCATATGTCACTCGAGAAAAAGCTGGTTGTAATTTTAGATCAAATTGAATTTGTTGATACAGGGGCACTTAGCAAAGGTCCTGGCCAAGCAGCTGGGAGGGGCTCCAACAGTTTGACAACCAGTCAACCTGGATTCATTGGTTGCCAACATCATCTGGAGCTGAATCCCAGAACTTTGGGATGTACAAAGAAATTCCAAGAGGTCATCATATTGGATTGGGCTGATGATACTTCCCCACTCTGTGTACCCCAAAGCCCTTCATCACAGCACTGAGGGGAAAAAATGCATTGGGGGTGGAGGGAAGCTCTGTAGTAGATGCTGTGGGCTGGGGATCAGGTAGGACATGGCTACTGCAATGGGGCTCCTGTTTTCTCTGGGGGTAGATGGGATACCTCGGTGAGAGTCTAAAAAACAGCATGTAAAGGCCAGAGACAAAAGAATTATGGAGACAGTAACGCCAAAGTGGTGTCTAAACTAGAGCAGTTTTCATCTGCAAGGTTTTGGGCTAATCAGGTACCATATCCCTAGATGCCACTAAGGTCCAAGTAGATAAAGTCTATTAAACTCCTACTTCTTGTGCATAACCCACACACACACACCCAAAAAAAAAAAAGGTCTAACAAGGAAGGTCTGACTTAAGCCACAGTAAAGTCATAGCCCATAACCCAATTCCCAGACCTGAGTCTTCATATCCAACAGCCCTTTGAATGAACAGCAAGATAGATACCATTGAGGGAAGAAGCCCTCTTAGCCTTCATCAAAATAGAACTACAGCTACTTAACAAGATAACAAGCAGCTCGCTAAGGAAAGGGACTACCTAGATCTTTCAGGTGCTGGCTCACTGCCCCACACCAGCCCTAATCCCTGGAACCCAAGTGCCACTGGGGAGGGCGGTGCTCAGGCAGCAAACGAATTTTTGACCCAGTAAATTCCACCACTCATGCAATAAATTCTGCATACTCATGGAGCGCCAACCACTGTTCTAGGCACTTAGGATCAGTGAGCCCAACAAAGATCCCTCCCTTCATAAGACCCAAGAAGAGAGAAAACAATAGACATTATTTATTTGACAGGTTACAAGGTGATAACAACAGTGGGAGAGGAAAATGAGGTAAAGTGGTGGGGGAGTAAGGAGGATGGAGACAAAAGTATTTTCCAATTTTAAATAGGTCAGGCCTCCTTGAGAATATGAGGAATGTGAGGATTGAGCAAATATTTAAAGGAGACGGAGAGTCAGGCACAGTGGCACACGCCTGTAATCCTAGTGGCTTGGGAGGCTGAGGCAGGAGGATCTCAAGTTCAAAGCCAACCTCAGCAATTTCGCAAGGCCCTAAGCAATGTAGCAAGACTCTGATCAAAAATAAAAAGGGCTGCGGAGGTGGCTTAGCGGCTAAGCAACCCTGGGTTCACTCCCTAGTACCAAAATAAAGGAGACGGAGGAATGTTCTAGGAAGAAGAAATAGCCAGTGCAAAGATCTGAGGCAGGGGAATGCCTGATGTATTTTAAGAAGAGCAAAGAAAAGCAAATGTGACTGGAGGAGAGCTAGTGATGGGGGAATGAGATCTGGTGAGCGAGAGAGTGGGTGGCAGGTGGGCGTGGTAGGTTAGGGTTAGATGAGGCCTGAGGACTACTGTAAAGATGGGCTTTTACTCAAAACCACTAAAGGAGTTTGGAACAGGTGAGAGAATCTAACATCCATTTAGGAATCAACATAACTCCTGTATTACAATCGATTATAAGAAGGAAAAGGTGGAAACAGAGAAATCGGCTGGGAGGGCTTTTTTTACAGTAATTGAAGGAAGATAAAGTGATACCCGCAGGATGGCAGCAGCAGAGGAGGCAAAAGGTGCCTGGATTCTGGATGTTTTTTTGCAAGTGGAACCAGCAGGATCTGCTGATATGTTTGATGTGGGGATGGAGAGGAGACAGAAATGGCTAAGAATTGGGAGCAAGCACCTGGAACAACAGAGTTCCCATCAACTGAGAGCAGAACGGCTTCTGGTGCCATTGGGGAGGGGTTTGCAGAGTGGGTGGGGGCTATCAGAAGTTCAGTTTTAGACTTGCTAGTCTAGACAGTCTAATTTTGACTTGTCTAGTCAAGACAGTCTAAACTAGCAAATCCAGTTTAGACTTGCTTGCTAGACAGCTTTAGACTTGCTAATTTTAAAATGCACATTAAACAAAGTGGAGATGTCACGTAGGCAATTGAATATGTGAGTCTGCAGTTTAAGAAGAAAGGTCTACTCTGGAGACATATATTAGGGAAATGTCAGTATTTAGAAAGCGTGAAACTGGAGGGAATACTCTAGGGGGTTAGAGAAGAGAAGGAATCTTCAAGGGCAACCAAGATGGAGCAGCCAGTGAGCTAGGACAAGAACCAAAACTGTGCCGGCCTGGAAGCTTGCAAACAATGGGTATGGAAGAGGGGTGGGCAACATTACAAATGCTGCTGACCCACCAAGTAAGAAAAGGAGTGGAAATTAACCATTGCATTTACCAATGAGGAGGTCACTGGTGGCTTTGAAAATGAGAGTTTTGTTGAGAGCAGTGAACCAAACCAGATGGCAACAGGCTCAAGAGAACATAGGAGAAGAGCTAGAGGTAGAAAGCATTAGACAACACTTACCACTGATTTTTTGGAAAAGAAGAGCAAAGAAATGGGAAATGGGAGTAGTAGATTGGTAGAGAAGTGGAATCAAGAGAATGATTTTTTTTTTTAATTGAGGGAAGGATGGTGGAGAGAATGTTCCAGGAGAGAAAAAAGTTGATGAAATTAGAAAAATTGCTGAAAATGGGAAAATGCTGGAGCAAGGTCTTTGAATAAGAGTATGGAATGTAGTCCACTAGTGGAAGAATTAGCTTTAGATAGGAGCATGAATAATTTATCCATGGTTATGGGTGGAAAGGCAGCAAACAGACATTTCTGCTAAAATATGATAGATGTGCTCCTAAAAAGGTTTTCATTCTCAAGTTCATGCTCTAAGCAATTATGGGGGGGAAATGGGTTGGGCAGACCATCCCAAATCTATACAACTTTGCAACCTGAGTACTAACACCATCTTAGTAAACATAAAAGCACAAAGCCAGGGGCTGGGGTTGTGGCTCAGTGGTAGAGCACTCGCCTCGCACCTGCAAGACCCTGGGTCCAATCCTCAGCACCACATAAAAAAAAAATAAGAAGTGAAATAAAGGTGTTGTGTCCAACTACAACTAAAAAATAAATATAAAAAAAGCACAAACCCAGGCACAGTGGTGCATACCTGTAATCCCAGCTATTCAGGAAGCAGGGGCAGGATGGAGGCCAGCCTTAGCAATATAAAAAAGAGAGAGAGGGAGAGACAGAGAGAGAGAAGAGAGAGAGAGAAGGAAAATATTAGCACAGTTTAAAAACATCATATTCCTAGTAAATAAGTGCATCAGTAAATAAAGAACTTTACCTTTTCAGGGAAAAGGCAAAGACACTGTAATAGAATTGGGCATAAAGAAAG